AAGACGACAGAGGCGATGCCCGGCAGCTACCGCAGATGGATGTGTCGATTTGCTGATCCATGGCCATTGTGACCAAGCCAAACTGATTCTGAAGAGCCACAAGGGTTTCGGCGGCCTCACGACGCCTCTCACCTTGTCGCCAGCCTCTTAAGCCATCGAAAGCCGCTTTCGAAGGCTTCTTTCTGCCTTCCATCGCCACTCCCTCTATCCTCGGCACGACTTCAAGGTCGGCGTTACGCCGCTTTGCGACTGCGTGCTGAGCCTCTTCATCCCACCTATCTGGGAGGGCGCACTTTGCACGGAAGTCGCGTGGGCAAAGGGGCCCTTCTCGCTGGCTCTGGCGGTGCCAAGTTGAACTCTAAGTGGCGCCTCAGCCGCAAGTCTGTCATGCATAGGGGTGTGGTACGCACGGGTCTTTCAGGCCTTTAGGTCAGAAGTCCAGTTGAGCCGCTCCTGCCACTCAGAGCGCACTTTGGCTGTCTCTCTCCCAGCTTTGTGGAAACCCGGCTCGTCCGGCACAGCACATGGGACCTGCTGTTGCTCGCAGAGGTGTGTGACACGCTCCCACACTCGGCGCCTGCCCCTGCGCGCCGCGCCCGCGTCACTGCGCCTCCGACCTCAACAACGACGACCCCGACTACGCAGCGCATGCGGTGGACTACAGATTTTGGAGGTCCACTGACATCACTGCCTGAGCCGGGGTGTCGCGGGGCAGCTTGAATGCACCACGTCGCTACATGGTTTGCCGTGTTTCTTGCTGCAGCTCACGAAAGCGCGTGCGACCACGCCGGCGAAAAGCACGCGCCGAAGCGTATGCACCACGCAGGCCCCAGTTCCGGATCCCCAGGTTTTTGCACCTTTCGCCATCTGCACTCTGCTTGGTCCTCGCTTCGCAGCCTCGCGGGGCCGCGGCCGGTGTGGCCGGTGTGGCCGGCTGTGTGGCTTTGAGAGCGCCCTTGCAGGGACCCTGGCCCTGCTGTCTCGTGCCCTCCTTGCGCTTGGTCCAGAGGTGCAAAAAGCGGTGCCTGAGGTTCCGGAGGCACCCCGACAATGCTCCTCACAACGGATCATGAAGCTGTCCAGAAGAGGCAGGCTCGGGGGACGCTAGCTGGTTCAGCTATAGTACACATGTCTGTGGAGCGAGCCTGATGAGACTCTCTGGCATGCGTCGCGTGCAGTCGTGCATTCGGCGTGTCGGAGCCAGAGATGTTGGCAAGCTGACGGCTTGAAACGGCTCGGCTGAAGCGCCGGCCGAGAAACCCGCGCTTGCTTTCGTGCATGCTCTCGATATCACGCGCGCTGCCTGAGCGTGTGGTGGGGCCGGTGCTTCATCGACCATTTGCCGCTGGGCTTGCGGTGACTTCTCGATGACGTGCCGTCGCTGAGGATCTGAGCCCACCGTGGTGGCCGGTACGGTTGCCACGGCGTCTCTGTGTAGTCAACTTAATAAAGCGGCACAAAGAGATGCGATCTGGCTCACTGCCGCGTGGCGTGCCCCCGCAAGCGGCAATGTTTCCCTGAAGCCAATGAACCGACCTGCGGTTTGATCAGCACCCTGGCTGCCTCACAAAGGTCCCACGTTGCATATGCAGTGCTTCGCCGCCACTCTTGCGCGCACCAGACAGCGTGATCGTGGCACGGCGTCGCAAGCGGCTGTCGTTTCCTGCCTGACTGCCTGCGTACGTGTGTTCAGGCGCCCACTCCAGACGCCTCGATCGGTCGGCTGCCTGTGGAAGCAGAGTGTTTTCACGAAGTCTTTTTAAAGGCATGACATGAGAGGAACGTCGTGCCCAACCGTCAAGTCCACCTCGCCAGAAGACAGCTCCTGATGTCTACACACGGAGATCTCAATGTAGGGGGGCAGCGACACCACACAGCACCGAAGTGTGAACGCTCTTTGGGGATTTGTGGGGGTAATTTCGGCCGGGATGTCATGAGTCAAGTAGGGATCCAATCCGGAAAGACCACGCCACTGCCACCATTTTATGCCGTTGTGTGCCTTGGTTGTCTGTGTCTGTGCCCACTTTCATTTGGAGCCAGAGGGCCAGACGGAGCCGCCCGGCATGGTGCCGTATTGCATCAGCTGGCAGACGATGGCCGGATTGCGCAAGCCATCAACGAGATGCAGGCTGCAGTCGCGCACCAGCACCGAAACCGAAGCGACGTTGCCGGAAGCTTTGGCCCAAGCTACGTGCCGATGCGGCATCCTTGGCCCCAGTGCCCCAGCCGCCCCAAGCGCCCCAACCTGTGCCTCCTGTGCCCGGTGTCCCCTACCTTCACGGAAGCCTGGAGATGCCTATAGGGGGTTCCTTTAAAGGAGGCCTTTATGGGTTCCTTTAATGGAGGCCTTTAAGGGGTTCAGGAGCTCTGGGCTTGCGAAGGGCGCTGGCCTGACGCGGGCCACGCGGGCGCTGCCGCAGGATCCGCAGGCTGGAGGACCGGCTGGGGGAACGGCCGGAGCGCAGCTCAGGCGCTTGGTGGCCGGGCCAAGAGAGCGGCGCGGGCCGCAGCAAGCCGCAACACGTGTAGCTCACACAGAGACGCCGCTGCTGCACCTTTCCCGTCCTCGGCGACCCCGAGCGCCTGGATGCATGGGCACCTAAGCAGCACTTCCATGCTCCCGCTCCCGCCCGTCTGGCCCTACCGCTCATGCCGGCTGCTCTTCTCTCCGAGGTTTTCAGCAAGGGTTCACTATCGGGCCTCGTAGCGTGTCCTTTGTTACCCTCGGCTGCTGTGAGTCTGTAGCGCCTGTAGCGCCGGCTGAGCGAAAGCTTGCCTTACCCGACAGATGGGCCGAGAGTCGATAAAAGAGCAAGCTGCCTTAAACACTGCTCAAGTTCCGAAATGGTTGAAGTTGATTGCACGAGTACTTTGTTTTATGATGCGTCATACCCTTCCTGGTGTTGGCAAGAGTGACTTTGATAGCAAGTGAAGACCTCAGTGGCAAGCGACCGTTTCACGTGAATACACGCGACATATGTGTAAATCAATGCGATGTCAAGTTGAACTCTAAACCCTAAACCCTAAACCCTAAACCCTAAACCCTAAACCCTAAACCATCATCGTCCGTAGTGACCAGGGAAGACATGCTTTCCAACGCCGCGTGTCGACCGTTTGGCCCGAGTCGAGAGTTCATGGGGTTATACGTTTGAGGGTTTAGGGTTTAGGGTTTAGGGTTTAGGGTTTAGGGTTTAGGGTTTAGGGTATACGGTTGAGGGCTACCTTAAGTAAGAGCCCACGGCCGCTTTTTGTAGGCTATCTGGGAATCGCATAAAACCCTGGTTATCGGATATGCGCTGCATTTTGAAAGCTACTGCCCGTGCCATGTCTGGCCATTGCGGAGGACTGGTCATGACTCATGATTGTTATATGGGAGTTTCCGAAAATCAGGGGTACCTTATTTTGGGGTCCTTATAAGAAGGATCCTACTATTTGGGGTACTAAATTGGGGTCCCCTATTTTCGGAAACCCCCATATCTGTTACATCTGATACCCCAAAGCTTCATGGGCTTCATAGCAATGTTCAACCCATCTTGAAGCCTGAAGGCCCAACAGCACGCAGAGTTTAATCAATATAGAGAGGTTGAGAGATCAGGTAGCAGTAGCAGTAGCAGCAGCAGTAGCAGTTGCAGAAGCAGTAGCACCAACAACCGTCGTCGTCTTGTTGTTCTTCTTCTTATTCTGCTTGGTGTCGTCGTCGTCGTGCTTGTGGTTGTGGTTGTTTTTGTTGCTGCTGTTGTTGCTTGTTACGATTATTATGATTGTTATTTTCATTTTTAGTGTTGGGATTATCACTATTGAAATTGTTGTTGTTCGTAGTAGCAATAATAATCATGGCGGTAGCAGGCAGGATCGTTTCAATGATAGGAGCAGTACGAAAGAATAGTGAGACTAAATGGTAAGCGTAGTAGTGTTCGCAACAGCAACAGTAACAGTACAAGCAATAGCAATAGGAATATTCAAAGGAAAAGTTGCACTGACAGACCCCGCTGAGGCAGTCAACAGCTGCCTGGCGAATGCACAGCGTGGTCGCCTCAGCCCGCAGCCGCGATGAGTCAAAGCATGGCGCAGCAGGTTGTCGAGTTCCTGTCAGGACCCCGCAAGTCGCGGAAAGGTGGAGTGTAGCCGTTTTGCTTGAGCTCCATTGTGGTGCTCCTGAAGCTGAGAGCACCCAATGTATCCAGCCTCTCTGCTAGTAGGTGCCAATCCTGCGATTGGCCGATAAAAACTACACCTTAGTATTCTCAACGATATCCACCAGATTTGAACCCTGGTTTGACATGTCAATAGTTTCAATCGCGCAGCATCACAGCGCCTGGCAAAATACCGGGGCTCGCTCACATGTGGCTTGGTGGCATGTGCCAGAGCTTGTAGTCGTGTTTTGCCTTTCTGGTACAACTTTCGCACCAATCAAGTGTGAGCTGCACCGGCTCAAAACAGCCAAGGCACCCATGACAGATGCAGAGTTCAGCACATGCGCGGTCGTAGGAATCATGAAGGGACCGGTTCACGTCAAGATGATGACGAACTGCAGCCTTCCTTTGCACCGTTTAGCTACTTTAGCGCCGCTTTGGGCCCGCGAGTGTGGAACTATTCCGAAGTGTGCCGGCCTCGGTTGGACTTCCCAGCTTGATCGGTTTGGCGTTTGCAGTTTAGGGTCTGAGAGATTGAAATGCGAAACTGGCTGTCACACGTCGCTTCAGATTATTATTATGATTATTACTACTACTATTATCATTATGATGATGATGATGATGATTATTATTATTCTTATTACTATGATGTGACTTCAATACTGTCTCCTTCACAGGACTGCTCCGTGCATTCATCGAAGTCTTTGTGTCGGAATGTCTTTGTCTGCTACACTTTTTAGGGTTTAGGGTTTAGGGTTTAGGGTGGACATATTCAAAAGTGCTGCATGCACAGTGCATGTCTGCATATGCCTTGGCGGAGGATAGTATGCACGTAGCATGTTCCCACATGAGTGTGGCTCCGACAAGGCTTTGGTCGCCTTTGCCCAGTACCTTCATGACGGAAACCGAGGAAAAGCTCAGGAGCGTTTTGCGCTCTGGCAGGATCCTTTGAGCCTGAAGTTCTCTGCTTGTCTGCGGTGCACGCTCGCGGCAGGACGATGGGAGTCACCATGGACCAGCGGCGCCGGTTAATGATGGCCTCAAAGTCTTGACCTCACTGTCAGGTCGAAGCTGGAGCTGATCCAGATACATATTAATGTTACTTGGAGGGCCAGGGGACTTAGTAAGTAGGCTATATGTAGATTTATAAGTACTTACTTAGTCCCCTGGACCTCAAAGTAGTGATGACAGGTGATGGGCAGTCACCGTCAGTTCGCCACCGCCACCAGGTGCCGGCATCACAGCACCACCATGCCAGACCACAGCCCGGAGCATCATCAGCATCAACAGCAAGGGAAGCATCATCCAGCATCAACGCCAACAATCATCATTGCTACTGTTACTGTTAGTGCTATTGCTACTGTCACTGCTACTGTTGTTTATGTTTTTGTTATTGCTACTGTTATTGTCATTGTCATTGTTTATCGTGTTGTTTTTGCTTGTTTTTGGTACAGTTATCGTTATTGCCAGTGTTATTGCTATTGAGCCATTGCCTATTGCTCTTGCTAGTGCTATTGCGATTACTGTTACTGTTATTGGCATTGTTATCGTTATTGCTGTTGCTATTGCTATTGGTTTTATATTCGTATTGGTAGTGCTATTGTTATTGTTACTGTTGTTGCTATCGCTATCGCCATCGCCATGGCTATCGTTATCGTTTTCGTGACGCTATCGCCATCGTTGTGCTAACCGTCAGCGTTGTTCCTATTGTTCTTATTGCAGTCATGGTCGTTTCTCGAGTCTCTCTCTCTATATGTATACACACACACACATCTCATTTCTATGATGTAGCGTGTTTCATAGTTTTTGCTCCTAAACCCTAAACCATAAGCCCTAAGCCCTAAATCCTAAACCCAGACCCTGAACCCTAAACC